AAAAAAAGAGATAAAAGAGGGAGAGGATAGAAGAGTAAACTTGCAACAAAAGGCTGCAAAAAAGCCAAAGTTCTTCACCAATGTGATATAATCACAGAACAAATACCTAACACGTGGCATTCTGCTAGGGTGAGACAAATATATTTTCCACCATCCTTTAACAGCCTTTTAACCTGATACATGAAAACGCACTTAGAAAAGTCCAGAGTTTGAGAATACTAACAAGAAGATCGAATTAACATCATGTACATATAAGATTATCATACACCTCAGATAAATATTGATTGCCTAATTTAGGTCCATGCTCAGGCTCCATCAAAGCATCCAAACCTCCCTTGTCAAGAATGGCATCAAATGCCGCATTTGCAAACTGAACCAAAGTAAACGAATTGTTACAAAAAAATAGGAGGTAAAGAATAGAGCAACATTTGGTAAAATTAGAAATGAGTTCTTCGACAAATGTTGAGATATACGAAAGAATACAACTAGTATTAGTGGGCCTAGTGTCGAATAAAAACTACCACACAATATATCAAACATCAACATCTCAACATTCAGGACTATTAATTGAAAGCATAAGCAGCTTAAGGATGATGTGCATCAGTGAAAGTGGAGTCTTTCACAAAAATTCAAAATGACGTTAGAATACATTGTTTCATTATCTAGTAAACCTCTTCTTTCCCTAATCGAAGCCCCAAGTATACACCTCATAATACAACAAGACACTACTTTAGCCACCTGTCAATAAAAAGGCCAACCACATATGATCTTACCTATGGGAACTACCACATTGCTCTTTAGTATATCATTGACCTTCTCTTTGAACTATAAATTCTTCTCTATATTCTTATAAACATTTTCAACAAATAGTTCATCAAGCAAACCACTCCATTGGTCACCACTTCCACTAATGCCACTAGATTAGCACTACAAAACAGCAGTTAAACATCACAATCATAATTTCTTCTTACAACTTTGTTCAGAAAATAACGAATAGTCAATAACAAGCATATTTTGTATAAATTTGAGTTCCTCCTAACAGACAAGTAGCTTCCATATATTTCTGACTGAGTTCATGATGTTTCATTTTCTAAAACAAAGGATACTCGCATTGCCTCAACCAAGTGCTTACATCCAAACCAAGACACTTACAACTGAAAAAGAAAAACGAAAGTAAAAAACAGAGGAAAACTATAATATATTAGTCATACAAATGTTTAAGAAATTAGTAAAATATTAAAGCCCGACGTTACAGCAGACTTGGACGCTTGCAAGACGTACCTGCATAGACGTCATGTCCATAACCCGCCACTTCATCCCCGGCCGATCTCTCACGTTCCTCCTCAACATGTCTGAGATAACCACCTTTGAGAAATCCACATTTGTTATGTTCGTAAAGCCGGCATCATAAAGATGCTCGGACAGCCTCGAGTTACCGCACCCCGGAACCAAAATATTCACCGCCGCCGCCTTCAACGGCTCTGATTGAGCTAAGAGACCAGATGTGAGTAAGCTTCTGAGCTGAGGCCACTCGGCATACCATTCAAATGAATCGTCTGAGCCTCTTATGGTGAAGAATTGATCCCAGTTCTCTTTGCTCGTGAAGTCGCCGAGGGTCTTCAGCAGCTCCTCCTGCTTTTTGCCCCTGCGGTTACTGTTCTCTTTCGTGGCTTTTTGCGGATGATTCACTTTTTTCTCCATTTTGCCAATGGCGCTTCGACTACTCTGCGTGTTCCCCTGCCAGTGCTGTTTAGGGTTTTGAGAAGGGTTTCTGAACCAGTTTTCACTGTTCACGACAGTGTAATTTGTCTTCATTACCAGTAGATTTTGGCACCGGACGTCTCATACCTACATGACACGAGTAATGCGTCAAACCAAACGACCTCGTGAGCTCGGCTTGGCTCGGTTCGTTGAAGCCCGAGCTTCAGCTCACTTGAAGTTGATTTAGTTAATGAGTCGAGCTCGACTCAACTCGACTCAACTCGAAAAGATAAAGTTTTTTAAAGCTCGATTCTAGTTCATTAATACTCGATTTCAGCTCATTAAAGCTCAAGTTTGACTTCTTAATATTGATAAATGAGTCAAGCTCGAGCTCCTCAAGTTAACAAGCCGAGCAGAGCTCGAACTCATGTTGCTCGAGCTCGATCCTTCATGAGCCGAGCTCGGCTAAACTCATTTACACTTTTAGTCACCAGTCATTGTTAGGGGTGAGCAATAAATGGTGGAATATGAATTAACCAATCCAACTGGAACAAATAGAAACTTCGGGGGTGGAGGTGGGGGTGGGTGTATTCGTAAGAATTCTAAAGACTTACTTTTTAGGATTTATGAAATATGGGTGTATTTAAGTCAGACTTTTTAGAATTTTAGTATTCAATTAGAATTTTTAATTACTTTTAAAAAGTCTCTTAAAATCCATAGGTATTCAGTTTAGACTTTTTTAAATCCCATAAAATCAAGATATATTCATTTCCTTTTCAGTTCTTTTGGATTTGTTATTTAATTGGATTTAGAGAGATTTGAGTGGGGAAAGTATATATAGGAAATCCATTACAAATTCCACCAATACATGAGAGATTTTGAGATTTTTGTGAGGGTTTACGAGAGGACGACTTCTCTTACGAAGGGGACAATTTATCTTCTCATACTTTGATCCTGAAAGCTACCAACATCTATTCTTGTGATTAGCATCTCTATGTATTACAACTAGTACATACCCCGTGCGATGCACGTGTTGATACTCAATTTGGCTCCAACTATTTGAATAATAAACGAAACAATAAAATGCGGCCCAATAATCGAGGAGCCGGAAGTACGAGATAAATAAATATACAAACAGGTTCTCAAGATTGATCGCCTAAAAACAGACTGGGTGCCCAAATGTCGAGTCCGCCTGCTACCGAGCCGAGGAGTATTTGAATCCGCCTTAAATAGATACCATAATTGCCGAGGAGACAGACGTCGGTCTGAACCGTCAAGGGTCATAAGCGGGTCCTACGATGATTACCTCCCATTAAATAATAATGTACTACCTTTTATTTATTTCCTTTTATTACCCACTTGCAAAGAGATTGGAGGGTGTATATATATGTAAATAGATGAGAGAGAAAGGGGTTCTCCCCCATTATTCTCCTCCTCAATTATTCAACAAGAGAGAAAAACTCTCCCAACAAAGCAATAGAAAAAACACCCATTCTAATCACCATCTTCTTCATTTTACATACAATTGATTCGATTTATTTTCAACAGTTGATCGTCCAATTTTCGACATCAACAGTTTGGCGCTAGAAGGAGGGCTCCGTAATTTGCTCGGAGCCAATTTTCGTTGGAAAACGGCTACATCTCCACCGGCAAACGCATCCTACAAGCTTGTCTTTTACTGTATTGCATTCTCGACATTCTTTTCCTCTAATTTCGGGAGTTAATATCATTTTTCTGGGGGCTATATCACTTCCTCCGTAGCTAAATAATTTCTGGAGCTCAGTTTCTTTATCTTCTTCCATGGCTATTTCACACCCCGCCTTACTAGCTTTGAAAATCAGAGTAAAATTTTTGCTTTTATTTTCGAAAGGTCGTGCGAGCTTGGTTTTCAAAAATAGTAACTGATTGTGGAATGTAACAGATAAAAACTTACTTAACTTGCTCACAGACATATATAACACGCAACCAAACTATCCGCTACGGATAATGGAATTAAACATGCAATGTCTGAACTGTCTCGCATTGTCTAGTCTGGTAGCGGAAGCATCCGAAATACAGAAAATACATGCATACATATCCGAATAAAACATGATCATAAATACTGGGACATAAAATATGCGTAAAAATGTCCAAGAGTCTCATGACCACACTTTGCCACGCCTATACTCATTCGACACGCTCGACTCCGTCTCTCCTGAAGAACACAATGGGGGCATGAGCAAACCATTATGCTCCGCAAAGACCTGTACTGAATAAAACAGCATATATAATAACGATATCATGACATCAATATATAAAAGCTGAAACTGAAATCTTTCTTTGCTTTTCTGAACTTTTTTTAACTTTGGTCCGTCGACCCTCGGCCCTCGGCCGCTCGTGTGCACACCATCTAGACACTGAGGCCGAAACCCCAGCCGGATACCAGGTGGAATAGGAAGGCCCTTAGGTCGGCCTATCATCTAGGAGAACTAACTGTCTCGAACATACCTCAGTCATGGTACAAATGTTATAAATGATGTAGAATCCAGTACATGACCCCCACCTGATAACTGAACGGACACAAGTGCTGGAAACTGGAGTAGCGGGCGAAGGCTCGACTCTTCTTAGGCTACATAAACATTTAAGCAAAATAATGCTAAGTATCATGCTCGAAATATATAATTATATGCTAATATGCTCGGATTTATTTAATAGCTAAGACTGGACTGGGTTGGCTCGGAAAATACTAAAATTCTCCAGAACATACTCGGACTGGAAAATCGAGCCAAACATCTCGAACCGCCCAGTTGAACTAGACCGGTTCGCTTGCTAGGCCGGCGGCTCGCCGTGAGCCGGTCGGTCGTGGGTGGCTCTGTAACAGCCCAATCAACTCGTAGTAGGATATTGTCCGCTTTGGGTATACACCGAACCCGCCTTCGTCATCCCCGGACCTCAGCAGGGATCCGACCTCAGATTCAAACGCCGAAATCAGACTAAGCCGCCGGCGCCTAACTCGGATTCAAACGCCGAATCGCCGCCACCGTCGGGAAGCGACACCCTCAAACTCGAGCACCGAGAAAGCCGAACGACGAGCCGTCGTTACCATCTCCAGACTCATATGTCGAGCTCGCACCCAAAGCCAATGTTAGTTCTAACCTCGACCACTGCCAACAAAATCTGCTCGACGACTCGATTCTTAGAGTCGGTTGAATTTAAAGAAATTTTCTGAAAGAGGAAGATTAGGATTTGGCAATTTGGAAGAACTCTGCCGTATAGGGACAACTGCCCGTAAATAGGAAAGAGTTGGCGAAAAGACATAAGTAACCGTTTATTAAAAGCTATTTCTATAAATAAAAATGATTTGAGAGAATTCCAAAATTGTCTCATTCATTCCAAAACATAAAATATAATAACTACTACAATGAGAAGTTAAAAACAATTAATTCAAAAAATGAACTAATAAATATCTGTTATCTCTCATCTTTTTCTTTCATCTCTCTTCTTTATCTCTCCTCCGTCTCTTTTCATGTTTCTCATTCTTCTTCCCTTTTCTTCTTCTTCAAAAATCTAAATGCCTAAAGAATTGCAAAAAGTTAATTGATCAAAAAAAAATGTACATACAAATTTTATTTCAAAAGTAGGCGGTTGATTGGGCAACGAAAAAAAAAAAACACATCTTAACATGTCCATGAATCATGTATGTGAACCATAGAAAAATAACAAATAATAATAATAATAATAATAATAATAATAATAATAATAATAATAATAATAATAATAATAATAACTAGTTTTTGTGAAACAACAACAAAAAAACAACATAATACCTCTAAATAAACGTAAAAACAACAAAAAAATAAACATAAGTTCAATCACATACATATAAAAAACATAAAAACAACAAGAAATAAACATGAGTTGAAGCACAATTTCGTTCTTGTAAAAATAAACATATTTTCACACAGCATCTACAAAATAACACGAAAGCATTTTTTCTGATGTAATTAAAGAATTATCCACATGCATATAAATAATAACATCTATTAATCACTAATCAATATCTTAGCAACACCCCGCCATTACCTTCACCACACCAGCAACAAAAATTCATAAACTTTCACATGTAAAGAAAGCAAGAAATTGAAAGCATCAGACCTCATAACTACAACTGCACAAATTACATAAACAGTTTAAGTTACAATTTTGGTGATATTGCATAGATAAGCACACCAGGGACGGAGATGTCGCTGTCATGTGGTGTTGTACCCTACATCAGGCAATAAATCCATCACTCCCTTCAGGAGGTCGCGCTATGATAATTCGTTCGAAACGGAGTTGAACAGATCCGTTGAAGGTTTTTGCAGAAGAAAGATTCCGTCAAAATTTTGGGATGTAGATTTGGGGTTGGAAAAAATAGATATGATTTGTTTGGCTAAATAAGAATTTTTATTTATATATTTTTTTTTTGGGGGGGATTTTGTAGAATTATAATGAAAAATAAGAAAAATTGGGGAGAGTGAAGTTTTGGTGTGCGGATTTGAGAAAGAAAAAATAAAAAAGTTAGGGAAGAAGAAGAAGAAGAAGTGAAAGAGGAAAAAGAAGAGAGAAAATTTGATGATAAAAAAATATGACAAGAGGAAGATATAGTAAATTGGAACCGTCTAGCAATTGAGTAAAAACTGAACACTAATTAAATTTAAAAACAAATCCTTTTTAAAAAATGTATAATGGTAATACAATGGAGTAAAAGTGGAATATGTCATCCGCTATATTAATTTAGTAATAAAAAATTGAGAAAGGATAAACAGTGTCCTTTATTCGAAAGAGCTAGGTCTTCTTTTGGGCCTAGTAATAAGTGGGCCTATAAAGCTCTTATAGATAATGTAATAGAATTGGCCCTGAATAATTTTGTAATAGATAGAATACAATTTGGGGCTTAGGAAATTAATTTAGGCCTGATAAATGAGTGTGTGGGCCTGTAAAATTACCAAGTTTTACCAAGAGAATGTAAGGGTAAGGCCATAAGAATATTGTAATAGCTAGAATTAGGCCGAAGCAGACAACAAATAATCCCAAAGTCGAGGAGCTCGGCAGGGATCTGAGCACCTCTCCAAGCGACAATATTCTTAGGCCTG